GCGTTTTCTGAAAGGCTCTGCTACCATCTCCTCAGTACTTTTCCTCTTCCAGCCCCTCGGGCCTGGGAAGAAATCATCCTGCCCCACCTGGTGGCCAGAAGTGGCCAGAACCTCAGAGCACTAACCTGGGGTGCTTCCCACCAGCGTGGTAATTAGCCACGGGTTTAGTCACCACCACAGCCTTGTGAGTAACCGGGGTGGGGGGTGGGGGAGCGTCTGGTTCCTGGGAGACTTAGCTGTGTTCCCATCCACTGCAGTGAACTGTTCCCCACGTTCCCTGTGAGCTCGACAATCCCTGGTTCGTATCTGCACGGGGCTCACCGCCCTGGGTGTAGATAGCACGTCACTGTGCCCTAGGACAGTGCCACCCACAGCCTGGTGTCCTGACCTGCAGCCTCGGCATTACCCGGAGCTTGATAGAAATGCACGTTCCTGGGCTCCTTCTCAGACCTACTGAATCAGTATCCCCGAGGGTTGGGGCCCAGGAATCTGCATTTAACAAGGTCTTCAGGTGATCTGGCGCCACAATGAAGGATGAGAAGTCCTGCCCTGGACCATGCAGGCCCCAGTACCCTGCTCCCATTAATGTCCACAGCCTTTCTTGACTATTAAGGCACTAGACAAAAACAAGACTGAAAAACACATCTTCATTATTGCAATCAATAATGTATTGACTGGAATAATGTATTGATCGGAAGGAATCCCTGCTCCTTGCCTCTCAGGAAACCCCTCCAACCCCTCCCATCGTCATCGACTTTCTTTTCCACCAAAACCAGGTTTGGAATGAAGTTTTAGTCACTGAAGCATCTTTGAGAGACTAAGCTGTGCTTGGAAATTCAGAGTCATGAGGACCCCGTCACCAAGATGCGATGCGACATCACAGAGCCCCGGCGAGCTGGCCCCAGCCCATCAGAAGTCAGCAGGACCAAAAAGGAAGCCAGACAGCAGGCAAGTGACTGCTGACATAGAAAATGCAAACTTTAGCCCCGCCATTGAGCTTTTCCAGCCTGTTGCTGTGAAATGACCCATTACTGCTGACACTTAAGCACGGAGGACTCCGAATCGTTTTGATGAGTTGACTGGTCCTAAGAGGTCAATCTCATTTTATTTTTATGGGTATTTTTAAAAGCTGCTTATGTGGGGAAGGGCAACGACTTTCCACATGCTTCAAACTGCGGACAGCAGAGAGCTGGTGACAGATGAGCCACAGTGCAGGAGGACAAACAGGACAGACCACTCTTCCCTGCAGGAGGGGCCTTGGAGAACATCAAAATATAAACCCCCTGCTTGACAGAGGAGGAAACTGAGGCCCAGAGGTGAAGACTCCCCCTGGAGGATAAAAGGTTATGCACAAGGTCACTATCCATCCGTCCCCTCCTGACCCCAAGCCCAATAGCAGGTAGGAGTTCAGGATAATTCAGCCTGACTCTTAGCCTGGTGGGATTCCAGAAAATCTCTGTAACCGAGTGGTATTTGAACTGGAAAATCACTTTTCCAAAAGACACCTGATCTCTTTGCCACATCATCCCCTGGCCCCTGTGGGTAATTTCCCACCGCTGACAGCAACCTGGGCAAAAGTCCCTGGATATCAGACCTCTGAGCGCAGTTTCCAGGGCAGTTTCCTGCTGCTTCCCGCTGCTCTGTTGCATCTTCCAAGAGGTTGGGGATACCCCCTGGCAGGGGCCCCTCAAGTTGCCCACTGGAATTCTCAGGCCAAGGATCTGGGGGCCTTTGAAGCCTCGGCTCCCCCCACATCTGCCCTGGATCTCTGAGTAGCACCTCCTGGGGCTCCTGCACGGATGGACGAGGGGCAGGTCATCCTCCATTCACTGGACGTCCAGCTACACCAGGACTGCTGGGTAGAGACCCCAGCAGACTCTCAGCCCTGAACGGACTCACACATCACATGTGGCTGGACACGCAGGGACCCCGTGGAGTGACCGAGGGCTGATGAAGAGCCCTTCCAACCAAGAGGTGCCCGGCTCCCAGGGCAGCCCCAGGGTTTCCCAACCCACCTGCGGGAGAAACAGGAGCAGTGGTGGCTCCCTCTAGTGGCGCTGTCGGCAATGGCAGGTGGCTGGGGAACCATAAAGGGAGCAGGTACCTGCGGGAAGGGATGGAGCTGATGAGCGTGGCCCAGATTCTTATAGATTTTGGAGGAAGTTGTTTTGTTTTGTTTTGTTTTGGGAAAAAGCACTGGCGATCTCTGGCTGCAGGCCCCAGAATCAGCAACAAGCCCAAGGGCCCCGAGCACTACCCTCCTACCCAAGACTCCTCTTCCAGCCACTCACTGCCTCACCGTGGACAAACCCTCTTCATTTCTCTGGGTCTTGTTTTCCTCCACATGACCACCCATCCCTGAGATGCTCTGAGTCTCAAATGAGCCCACAGTCTACTGCTCACCCAGGAGGAAACACAGCATTGCTCACACCACCTACACCTGGAGGGGGCCTGACAGTCACCAAGCACTGCCACAAAGAGCACAGTGACCGTCTGACGCTTGATAACAATCGAATCATTACGGATCTCCCTAGGCAAGAGGAGAGGGCTCTCGTTTTCCATCAGGGGCCTGGAAATCAATTTGCCCTCAGTTATCCAAGTGATGGAATTAAAGTCTATCCAAGTGGGAAGAGACATTGGCGATCACTGGGTCCGATTCTTCATTTCTCAGGCAAGGTGGAGGACCAGGGGATAAAGACATGCCAAGTGTCGACGTGCATCAGACGGTGAGTTTAGTGGCAGAGCCGGGACTGGGCCCCGGGTCTCCAGCCTCTCGGCCCACAGCTTCTGCCGTTCCGCCGTGTTGTCACGTGGCTGTCCACGCGTGAGCTGAAGGGTGGCCCTGAGACCTCCCCTCGGGCGGCCCAGCAGGCTCCCCGGCCACGAGCCAGCGCAACTGAGCTCAGGCAGCAGCGTCCTCTGACATCAGCCCATGGCGCCCACGAGTGGCCTGGTGAATCAGTTTTCTGCTACCTCACCTCAAAACAAAGACAAGAGTCACTCCTGGAACGGTGCCTCCCAAAGGCAGACCGATGGCAGAGAGCAGGACAGTCTGAGGGCGGCCTGTGACATCGGGCCTCCTGCTGTCCATCCATCCACTCTGGACAAGGCCTCCGTGGGCCCCTCCAGGGGCCAGGATAGAGGTGTCCTCAGCCTGCCACTGATGTTTCTTCTTCTCCCAGACCGATTCTGGGTTCTCCTACTGGAGCGCCCCATGCACCCTGGCTTTTCTTCCCCCATTGTCTCGGCCTCAGGTGATTCTGGTCTCCTGCGTCCCACTCCGGTGCGACTGCCCGGGAGGTGACAATACCTTGCCTGCCAAGGCCAAGGCCAGCCAGGTCCCCAACCTTCCCAGGTGCACGAGACTCAGAATAAATCATGGAAATGCAGATGCAGCCCGTCCTGGATGTGCGGTCAGGGAGACAGACAGCGGGGACGGCAGCAGATGACACTACCCACCCACCACCCCCCCTGCTGCCATCCACCCCCGGATTCCTGGAGAGAAGGAAGTGGGGCTGGGAGGCAAAGCCAAGCTGTGCCTGGGGGCAGAGTCTGGTGGGTGACGTCACCCGCAGGCCAGCTTCCGGGAGCGGGTCGCTGGGTCTCCAGCACAGCCACAGAGGGTGGTCCGGCCCCTGGGTCTCCCCTTTCTCCCCCGCAAGCTGGGAGTCATCCTCGCCTTCGCTCTTTCTCTCTGTCCACTTCTCACCAACCCCACCATGGACAGCCTGGTCCACCCACCAGCTGCTCTCACCGGGATTATCCCACCCGCTTCCCAACTGGAAATTCTGTTAGAATTGAAGTCCAGACATGTCCCTTCTTCCGCTCAGAACCCTGCAGGAATGGCTTCCTTTCCAACTCCACATACAAGCACAGTCCTTTCAGGGCCTCTAAGGCCCTGGCTGGACAGAGCCCACCCTCAGCTCCCAGTTAACCCTGACCTCGCGTCCTGCTGGCTCACTGCCCTCCAGCCGCACCGGCCCCCTTGCTGTTCCTGGAACACGCCAGTGAGGCTCCCACCTCAGGGCCTTTGCACTTCCTGTTCCTCCATCTAGAACGGCGCCCTCACTCCTTGACCCCCTCTGCTCTTTACTCAGACATTCCCTTCTAGGTCAGCCTTCCCCTGTCTCCCCTGCTTTAATCTGGTCCTCACACTCCCCTACCCGCTGCTGTATTTCACGGGCCCCTTTCTGGAGGTTCCTCGGTGGAGTTTGTACTCACCTAGCATAGAGTGTATTTTAGTTACTTATTCTATCGATTGCCTATCTCCTCCAGCAGAAGCTAAGCTTCTTAAGAGCCTGAGTCCTTGGTTTTGTCCATTGGCCCACAGCAGGCACTCAACGAACACTTGTTGAATGACGAAGCAAACAGATCACAGACACAGTTTGGGAAACAGACCTTCACAGGAGATGTCAGAGTTGCGAGGCTTCTTCGGTAAGAGGAGAAGCCTGGGAGAGAAAAGTGTGTGTGTGTGTGACGCAGCGATGCTTGCGGCCACCCTCACTTATAGGAAAGAACGTGTAAGCGCTTGATGACTTATACGCGAGCGTGTTAACGGCATATATTAACCAGAGCCAACATTCATTCAATCACATCCTCACTCACTCATTCACCGGACACTTTGTGAGTGACAAGTCCACGTCCGGTGCTTTGCTAGAGACATCGGGTGGGCACTTCGCTGAGGAGATGGTCCCCGCTGCCGGGGCTTCTGCAGTTTGGTGACGAAGCCCCCTGCCCAGCACACAGATCTGGGAGGGTCCGGGCATTAAAGCAAACGGTAACCTCAGCAACACCTAATTAGGAAAGTAAACTCAAGGCAAGAAAATCAGCCTGCGTTTTGTCACCAAGAGGAAAGGATACTTGGATGGGTATGGAAGCGGGAATGTCCCCTTCCAGAGCACCCTGGAAGGATGCGGGAGGGAGGGAGGGAGGGAGGCGAGGAGGAGGGATTTCCTGGAAGTAGAAACTTCTCTCCTTCCCCTGGGGAAGTGGGTTACACACTAGAAAGGAGCCTCCGCTGTCCTGGGACGCCCTGCGCGTGGCATCATATGGCCTTGACATCTGTCCACAGGCACGTCTATAGGAGAGGCGGGCCGCTCCTCAACAGTGGGTGACACATCCTGCTCCCTTGGAAGACGTCCCCTGTCCGAGGTGGGGTCACGGCAGAGGGTGATCAAGCGTCCTTTCTGATGCCATCTGTGGGTGGCACCTGGGGCGCTGGCTGGGTGCCCAGGCACCTTGGATAGCTGCCTTTGTCACGACTTAGCATGCCGTGTCTGCTTAACTTAGCTGTTGATGTTGGCACACAGCGAAGCGCACGGCCTCCGAGACTCTGCGTGTGTTTATTGGCGGTCCTCCGTGGCCACCCTTTTCCTAGACGGGCCTGCAGCACAGCCATGCACTTGCCCACATCGCTCGACCCCTGACCTCTCCACACCTGGTCTCTTCGATCCACACCACCAGCTCTCACCTCCCCGCCCCAGCTTCACCCCCATATCCTGGGCCCCATCTTTAAATTAGCCAGTGGGTCTGGTCCCAGCTTTTTCCAGCCTGGTCAAGGCTCGCGGGAGGCCACCGGAGGGGGTCTCGTCTTCTGGAGGAGCTGAGGGTCCGGACCCTCTTTTCCCAGCCACTATCAGAAGTGGAGGTGTAGGTCTCCTGGCTTGGACCTCTGTGCCAGCCTCTTCCCTTCCTTCCTGCCAGGGATGAATCAGAAGAAAAGGAGGTGAGTTAGTGGTGGGGGGCTGGGCTGCACGAGGAGAGTGGTCCCAAGAGGCCTTGGACGGACGGCCAGCCCCTTTTCTTAGCTCCTGTGCATGCTGGTCCCCCACCTGGCCCCATTCCTGGCCTCTCTGGTTTACCCAAACCCCACCTGCCACCCCACAAGCCCTCCAAGGGTCCCTGCAACCCATCAGCAACTGCTGAGCTGTGAACGGCTCTTGCAGAAGCTGCCTTTGTATACCGTGGTCAACAACACCCCACCTTTAATGGCCTCTCAGTCCCCCAAAATTAAGCCCAAGCAATCCGCTCAGCTTCCAGGCCCAGGAAGGTGACGTTTCATACAATTTAGTAGCTGGGCTCCCTTCTCTCTGACACCTGCACTGTCCTGCTGGGTCCCAGGGCCAACTTTGACCCTCAGATCCATCAGGCGTACGCTTCCTCCGTGAAAGAGTCCTTGCTACAGCCTGGCTCTCCCCTCTGCCACCCACTGGAGCCTCCTGCCTCCCCCTCCCACTTTCCTCCATCCCCCATCCCTCCCAGCCCAGCCGAGCCTCAGCGCCGCCCGTGAGCCCCTCTGGCCGCACCAACACGACTGAGCTCTCTCTTCCCTGATTTCCTGCTGCCCTTACAGTCAGTCCCCCGTGATATCAGACGTCAGTGTTTTCTACTGGAAAGTATGTGAGATTTGGGGCCCAGTGTTCTGTGTTCAAGGTGTGCCTCTACCGTGCCCTGGGCTGAGAAAGCCAGGTCCCAACTCAGCCACCGGATGTGAAGGCGCGTTGCTGTAACTCCCACAAAGCCCTTCAGGAACAGGCCAGGGTTGCCTTGGACATGCTCTCCAGGTCTCCTCCCCACCTCCACAGAGCCAAACATCTATCCCTCTGCCACTCAGTCAAAAGGGGGGAAGTTTATCTAATTTGAGAGGACATATGAGAATATGAGAATATGAGAAGTAGAGATTCTTCCCTTACATCCAGAAAAAAAAAAAAAAGTCAGAGGTCAGAGTAGGAGAAGAGCAGGGACCCAAACCCACTAGATGGTAGCATCCCCAGAGATGGCCAGACTTCGGAGGGAACGGCTGTTGGTGCACTAAGGTGGCCAGACCCGAGACTGGGGTTCCCAGGATCCACAGGTAAATTTGAATTTCAAATGATTCTGCAATATTTGGGACATTCTTATCCTACAAAATTTCACTGTTATCTGAAATTCGAATTAACTGGGCATCCTGTATTTTATCTGGCAACCTACCCAGTACGGGTACAATTTTCTGAAGGGCATTTTAGTAATACAAAATGTCAGAATCTTTAAGGCATACACAATTGTTAGCACAAAAATTCCACTTCTGGGAAGTTATTCACAAGAAATCATCAGCAAATAGATAAGCATGTACAGGTAAGGATATGTGTTGCTTACAATCACGAAAAACAATTAATAGAAGAGTGGTTAAATGGTAATGGTATTTTTGTGTAAATGTGTGCAGCCCTAAAATTGCGATTTCTAAAATCTGCACTTTAAGATGAAAAGATTTCCAGAATATGTTATTGCATTTTAAAAGGTAATAAAGTAAGTTTATGTTTGATTTCATTTTTTAAAGTATTTTATATGTACAAGACACATAAATACACACTCACAAATCATCTGGAATAACTATACCAAGATGAAAGGAATGATCTCTGGATGGTGGGATTATTGGTGACTTATTTTGCTCTATACACCTTTATTCATATTCAGCTGAACTTTGAACAACTCAGGGGTCTAGGGTGCTGACCCTCCACACAGTCGAAAGTCTGAGTCACCCTCGTCCACATCCTCGGATTCAGCCAGCCTTGGACTGTGTGCTGCAGTGTGCATTTACTGAAAAAACTCTGTGCGAAAGTGGACCCATTCAGTTCAAACCCACGTCGTTCAAGAATCAACTGCATTATCTTCATAATCTGGAGGGGGGGCGGGGAAGAACCAGTAACTTAAAAAAAAAGAATTATGCAAAAGCATTCTTGGATAATCTTACAATCTGCAGCAGCAAGCCCATGTGTGGATTTAGGAATTCCTCACCTAAAGGCAGGTACATGTTCCTTGTCCTAGTTTGGTGTTGATTTACCTAAGCTATGACAGTTTTCTTTTGCTAAAGGGCGGCAAAGAAGAACCTGGATGTAATAGATACTTGCTGTTTTGTTTGTTTGTTTGTTTGTTTGGGGAGGGAGACTGCTGCATTTTTGGTTACCCAGCACCTATGCTGTCTCTTTTTTTCCTTTCGGAGAACCAGCTCTCCTCTGGAAAAGCAATCTCCACACTCCACACTCAGCCCGTAGGCGTTGGGTGAAAGTGACTCCAGCACTGGCTCCAAGGCTGTGCATGTGACCCAGATGTGTCCAGTCAGAGCAGACCATTCCCCTGGCCTAATAATCGGCCCAGATAAGAGAATGAGGTGGAATTCTGACCAATGAAAATCAGATCATGGATTTTCCCAGGTCAATAAAAGACTCTGTTTGTTGGGCTAGAACCTGGGAGGATATGTCTGGAGCTACTAGCCATCTTCCCGTCATCCACAGTCAACATGGACGGCAGAATTACATTAAGAGGGATGAAAAAATGTCACTTCCTGGATCATGCTGGACTTGGAGACCAACTTTTTAAAAGAATTCTATCATTTTCAAATAACATACTATGGATCTTAGACTTATCTTGAATTTTCCAGCACAGGTTCTGGATAATTTAATTGATATAAGAATTAAATTAATTGAGTCTAATAGCACTAGCTAAAAGCGCTACTTATAGGTATGGGTAGAATTTCACGGGCGGAAATACCCTAAACAAGAGGAGCGTTGCTAGGCATCCTGTAGATTTAGGACATGTTCTACATTTAATGATTTTGTCTTGCTTCCCGTATTGGTCTTCTCAGGACAGCCTAAATGTCTCATACTCAGCATTTTTCAATACATTACAAAACTTCAGCAGTTAGAGCTATTCATTAAATTACCTGGGCATCCTGGACTTTCATTTGCTAAATTTGGTAAAATTCATTTGCTAAACGACTACGAAAGAGTCATTCGACCCCTACAACCTTCCATGCTTCGGCCCATTCTATGGTATCCTGCTGAAGGAAGCCCAGTTGTAAATGAACTTTTATTAAACCCTTTTTGATTAAATTGGTTTGAGCCAGCGTTTTAGTCTCTTGTAACCAAAAGAAAGCTAACTGGCCCCATTTAATTATAGAATCACCAACACCTAAGTTCTATAGCCTAATTAAAATAATAACTATACTTTATTCATCACTTCCTGTGTTCAAGATATTTTAAATACATTATCTCATGAATAAGCCTACCCAGCCTTTGAGATAGACATTATTTTCTCTATTTCACAAATAAGGAATCTGAGGCTCCACGAGGTTAAATAATTACCCCAAATCACATAGCAAGATGGAAAGAACCAGGATATCAAGACACCAGCCCTACATTCCGCCACTGCACCACGCTACCTTCTGGTCTAGACTTAGAATTTTGGTCTCACATCACAGACAGAACTCTTTTGTTGGGCTTGGGTTCACTACTAGTTGAGCTAAAATAACCCCCAGAAAGTCTAACTTCCCACAGATAGCTCTGGTTGAAGCCAAGCACAGGAAAAGCTCACAATAGAACCTCATTTAAAGTGGGTGGAGGAAGTCTCCTCGGTGCTACCGTTTTCCTCTAACTTCCCAGAAGCTATCAAGATCTGAGAGCAAGTTTGGGGTTCACCTGAGTCATGTCAAATGCCCAGCAGCATCACGCAACCTCCAGAGCATTAATCAAAGCTGACTCCATCGGTGACGTTGGCTGGATAACTGCAAAGTTTCCACTTTATAAGCACACTGTCTTACGCCGTCTAAGATGGACATGAGCTATCTCCAGATTTCCAATAAATCATTTCTGTTTCTTATACTTATATGAAAATATAATAAAATGGTTCATGTGCATTTACCCGTGAGATGACATTCAATATGCAATTCATCTCGTTTGTTATTTCTCACAGTAACCCAACATCCCTCCCAAGAAACCGAGGTACAACACATAGGTGAGACTGTTCAAAGTCAGGCAGGCCAATGGCAGACAGATGAATCTGCCCGCTTTTCAGAGGCAACTGAGTCACCTGGACCATGGAATCACATTTCATTTAGGCTGCAAAGCGATCGGAGGTCAAGGGAAGCGCTCTTGCTGTCCCCAGGTTCTGCTCTCCACCGAGAGCACCCACGATAATACCTGCAGCCTCTGGTGTGTGGATGTTACGATGCTACAGCTCCCCAGGACAGCAAAGGTGGGAGATGGACACCTGTAGAAGCCTGGAGGGATGGAGACTGGCAGGCAAAGCCTTTCCTTCTGAATAACTCTACTTGTCAAACGGCTCCCCTTGATGACTTCCTGGCAGCCCTGACTATTTTATGGAGGAAGTTCCAGGCACAAAAGAGACGCTGTTCCTTCCCACCTGCTCCCGGCAGCCTGAGGGAAGGCATCTCTGGCTCCCTGAGGGTCAAGGGGAGCCAATGTGGCCAGAAGAGATGGGGTTTGTGAGACCCATGCCCCTGAGGTCAGCAGGATGGTGACACCTACCCCCACCCCACCTTCTCTCCACATCCTCCAAGAGCACGCAGGCCTCTTCCACTTTCAAGAAACTCTTAGAGGCAGACAGTTTCTGCAGCCTGGTGCAGCAGCGTCCCAAATACGACGGCTCTTTTCAAATCCACCTCCAACCCGCAGAGCCCACACTCAGCCCATCCATCCAAAGCTCCCAGCAGATGCTCAGTACGTGACCCAAACCTCTTCTACTTCGTTTCCTACAGGAGCCTTCCCTCAGGAGCACATCAGGGGCAGTAATTTGAAAGAGGTCTGTCCCCACACAGGCAGTGAAGGATCGCCTCGTCCACAATAATAAAACTGACCCCAAACAGCCGCCAGCCATGATACACAGTGTTGGTGATGAGACATCCCTCCCGACTATGGTGGAC